CATTTCAAATTCAAAATTCAGATTATTACTGTTGGTACTCGGCGTAAGATGATCACCAGGACGATTCTGTTGGGCATTTGTCTGGGTCGGAGACTCTTCTTTGAGGCTGCACATAATATCAATGCTTGCTTGGTTATGTTGATCTGTAGATCTGATATTGTTCACTGCTTCTTCCCCAACCGTTCCTAAATGAGACACTTCAGGCAGAGTATTAATGTCCTCCAAACCCTTGTCATCTCCTGACTCACAGATATACGAGTCACTGTCACTATCAGTTCTGTTCTGCTGACAGGCCAGATTATCGACAATATCAAAACATTGCTCACTCTCCGGCTGCAACTCTTCCTCTATAGTGGGACTGTAGGTACGAGTACTGTGACACACGGTCACCACATCCCTGTACACACCACCACAACCCTCCTCCCCACTACCACCACAACCCTCCTCCCCACTACCTCCCACTAACTCCGTCTCTTCCACCAGCCCTAACTCCTCCTCCTCCTCGTCACTTAGCGTCTCCGGGGCGTTCTGACAGAGTCCGGACCCTCTGAAACCAGTTAATACTTCGTCTATCTCATCGTAGAAGTCTCCCAGTTTTGTTTTGATTCTGTTGATAATGAGGTATGACACGGAGCCGTTTTGAGAGCGCTGGTAGGCTGAGAAACTTATCAGATCTCTAGGAGAGTTACCTGCAGTGGTGCTGGAATCTGTCATCTCGATAGGTAGAGCGTTTTAGAGGCCTATAACTTCTTCTTCGGTGGAATCGTATAAACTACATTTTGGGCTTTTCTATTCTCCTTCTTAGATCCGATGATACTTAGAAAATATCGGGGTATAATAGTGTCGTGCATAACAAATGAAACTCAAGTTAGGCAAGATGTAAGCGTTTACACAGTAGTAGTTTAAATGTGAACAGTGTTGAGTAAAATTTGTCACGTGTCGGTCACGTGATATGCTGCACTGCAGCGGCATAATATGCGGTTACACAGGCCCGGCTAGGTACCGCAACTTTTTTTTGAAATGTGACGATGATTGATTTAAGTTAACTAAACATAATTTAGGTCACTTTTTTTTTTAAATATCAAGAATGAGTCTCACCAGAAGATCCCATGGAGCTCCCGAGTATTCTCCAAATAAATTATTTCTTCTCAATTTGGTGAAAAGTTAGTAAACACTGAGATTTGAGACTTATTACTCCCATAATTACCGCGATGTTAATTGTTAATGGTGCATGTATCTAGAAGACTAGAACTTCTAGTCTAGAAGAGCCTCTTGATCATTTTTAGTTTTTCATAGATATCTGACCCAAATAAAACGACTCTTTTAGAAACATTTAAATGTGATTTTTACAGAATAAAAATGTTGTCTAAATGTTCAACTTTAAAACAGTAAAATGTTAACTACATCAATGAAATTCTTCCAAGATCAGTAAAATTAAGAGTCGATATCTGCAGATTTTATTGAATTAACCACACGAATAATAACGGAAGTCGGGAAGTAGCTCAACATGTTGGCACTTCTGACCAGCTGTTTAGAAACTTTACTAATTCAGCGTGAGTGCTCGTAAAATTGGATATAAATTCAGAACCGTCAAACCCTGGGTAACCATTTTAATATGTAACATATAATGTGATATTTTGTATCGAGAATTTCTCGAATCAAATTCCGCCATACCTGTAAGCAGTCGACACTTGCTTCCCGGTTCGAAGTTTATTTGCATTTAATTAAGGGTTTGGACAATGGAAACGAGCGTGATAATAAAGGGTAAACAAAATTAAACTATGAAACAATACAATGAATGATTCGACAACCTCTACTTCAAATCCTAATTAACCAGACTCGTATCGCCCATAAACGCTCAGCGATCTAGTGCTGCAACATAAAACACGGATAGCATGGTCAACTCGCCTTGACCGTGCCTAATCTAGGTGCCCTGAAATAACCACTGTCGATTCTAAACCTCTAACGACACGTTCCATCCGTGCTCACCAGGCCCCAACCATAACTGGTCCTGGTCCCTTACACTAGTCTGGTATCAACCATGACCCTCTATCGAATAGGGTGAGAATGCAAACAAGGGGTATAATAAAGGTGCCCAAGGTACTTAACTGAACAATGAATAATCGAATATTTGCTCAACCAACGCTTAGTCACTTAGACTCATATTGCCTCAAATGCTGTGCAACAAATTCCTAATTGCTCCGATTCATACTGCCTCAAATATTACGCAACCTACTTCCTGCCGTTAATCCTACTCTTAATCTAGCTTTACCTATCTGAGTCAACCATTGCTGACTCTCGCTCTGCCAGAGCCCAGTGTTGTCAAGACATCCCCTGGTGTCGGCCACAACCAAGCCCGATAATAGTAACTACGTAATGCTCCACTATTCTACGGCCGCCAATCTTATACTTACCACTATAACCATCTACCTAACTAAACGACCTAACCTTAACCGGTTCTAGCTCCTACTCTTAGTCTAGCTTTACCTATCTAAGTCAACCAGCGCTGACTCCCGCTCTGCCAGAGCCCAGTGTTGTCCAGACATCCCCTGGTGTCGGCCACAACCAAGCCTGATAACAGTAATTACGTAAGGCTCCACTATTCTACGGCCGCCAGCTAGCTCCTACTCTTAGTCTAGCTTTACCTATCTAAGTCAACCAGCGCTGACTCCCGCTATGCCAGAGCCCAGTGTTGTCAAGACATCCCCTGGTGTCGGCCACAACCAAGCCCGATAATAGTAACTACGTAATGCTCCACTATTCTACGGCCGCCAATCTTATACTTACCACTATAACCATCTACCTAACTACACGACCTAACCTTAACAGGTTCTAGCTACAGAACCTGCCCGGTATCAAAATGACCCCCCTCTCGATCGGGTAAACTGGCACTCTTCTTACTCTCAAAAGCTAACCCTACCATTTCCCAGGAATCTCAAACTGTCCTGTCGATAGCCACAACATTGTAACACTAGTATTCTGTAAACAC